ACCACCTAACCCGATTCACCGCGTTGACTCCACTTCCCAAAAAGTCAGCAGTCACTGTCGCGCAGGCCATTATCGACCGCATCATTGGGATCTTTGGATCGCCCGAAATGTTGCATTCCGACAAGGTCCTGAGTTTGAGAACAGGGTAGTCCAGCAACTACAGCGGATTCTGAACTATAAAAAGACCCCCACGACCCCATATCGTCCGCAGGGTAATTCCGTTTCAGAATGAGTTCATGCAACCATGCACGCAATGCTTGCCATGCATAGTTCGATGAACCGCGATAACTGGGCATCACTGCTGTAGTACTACATATTTTTACATTAGCTCCACCATGCATGAAACGCCGTTTTTCCTCATGTTTGGTCGGAATCCACGTCTACCAGTTGACATTATTCTCGGTATTCATGTAGGGACAACAGCAAATACCGAGGAATTCTCTAAAACCGCACAGGAAATCTACAGTTTACTTTTGAACTAGCGCGCCGTAACCTGTCGGAACGCTCACAAAAACAAAGTGCCAAAAACTCAAAACTGCATCCTATCCCTGTGTTTAAACCTGGCGATTTAGTACTCGTGTACCGACCCTACCAGGATTCGGATGGACCAAATCCGAAATTCTTATTACCGTGGCGTGGACCTTACGTCATCTGCTCCCAGATATCCCCTGTGGTATATAGACGCCAGTTTGAAACTTCTGAAGTTTCGGTCCATTTAGCCTATATATTAAACGGTATTACGCGAGGAAAACGCCACCGGCGCCCGACTTTGATAAACTTTCTCAGTTTTTCTTAGGACGCCAGATTCCATTGCCCGAGCTAGACCATCCCGATGAAGCTCAACCGAAAATTGAGTCCTACCTCGTGGACAAAATGGTAAGCCATAAGAGTGGTAAGGGGCCGGAAACCCGCACAACAAGTATCGTCTGCGTCTTCGTGGATGCGGCCCTGAGTCGGATCTTATGTGCAGAGCAGACGAAATCCCACAATGTCAAGATATGATAGCTGCCTACAGAATCCGGTGTGGATTGGACATCGCGCCGCCTGAAAACTCTGCGTCTTGTGCCCCAGTGAAACAGGGAGATCAAAAATCACCCAGTAAAACCAGGAAACGAAAACGGAGACAGGCCAATAATCCGCATGGATCTTCACCTCGAAAATTGGCTGCGCAAAGTGACTCTGAGCCACCCAGCAAAACCAACAAACGACGGAGAAGTGTTGAAAGGAAATGTCATCTACCCCAGTTGCGTTCTGCTACGACCCTAGGTGATGCTACATTGCCCTGTCGTCCTGGCAAACGAACACGAACTAGGGCCCGAAAATGAAATGATTGATGCGTTTCAATCATTTCTAGCAGCTTCACCATTTCTTTTTTTAGGCTTGAGGGAAAATTTTTCTGCAACTACTATTCTGAGTTAATCTCTGACACAGGACCAGTAGCCACGGTGGTAGGTTGTGTCCATTGGAGACAACCTATTTTATCAGTGTTTGGGGAAACACTGGCGAGGAGAATTACTTGTAAGCCACCGCTATCCCAAGATCTTCTTAATGATGAATACGTGGACTTGCCAGAGGTTCATCTCATTCCAAGTCCACCCCACATCACCCCCACACATGGCATGCCACGCGATCATGACCATGGGGAAATGATCTAGTACCCTAGCTATCATTATGATAGCCCAGTACCCACCAATATTGTTTTCTAGACTACACGAGTATGGACCACATTCATCGTCCCGTCTGAGGACTCCGTATTTCTCAACACGCGTTGGACGATAAATCAGACATGGTCGATGGTGTTGAACAATGGATAGGTTATTTCCGATACATGCGTCTCCATGAGCCACTCATGTCTCTGGACGCCAACAGCACATCTTTAGCACAGATGGACTTGTGGCGCATAGAGGGGGGGACAATGCGGAGGACACCTGTCGGAATATATAACCAACCATTTGTGCACATACAAAGTNATTTCTCAACACGCGTTGGACGATAAATCAGACATGGTCGATGGTGTTGAACAATGGATAGGTTATTTCCGATACATGCGTCTCCATGAGCCACTCATGTCTCTGGACGCCAACAGCACATCTTTAGCACAGATGGACTTGTGGCGCATAGAGGGGGGGACAATGCGGAGGACACCTGTCGGAATATATAACCAACCATTTGTGCACATACAAAGTGTAGGAAGATATGATTCCTCGGGGTAACTTGCCATCGGGAGAAGCAAGTAAAGCACCAAGGAGATTTTTCTCTTCCGAAGTCCATGGCCGCTTGCCGAGGGAAGAGATGGGGAGCCTCCGACTCGACTCTCTCGACCCTCTGGTCACTCTCTTTCTACCTTCCTCTCCTCGTTACATTTCACGAAAGGAAATAGCCACCCTTGGCAGTGGGAGAATACTGCAAGAGTACCGGCCGCTGTCTCCGATAGGGACCAGTAACCTCATTGGCGTCGACGAGAACACGGCTCCACCGTGATTTGTCTCGAGACGGAAAGGACAAGAAGAGGAAATCGCGAAAATGACGCAAAGCTCGTCACAGCGAAAAATAGAGCTGCGCGACCAAGTAGAGGAGGCGACGGCACTCGTAGCTGAAAAGGACGCGACGCTGGCGAGCCAGGCGCGGGAGCTGGAGGAGCTGCGGAAAAAAAAAAGCTCGCCGGCACTGCTTCCCCGTCACTGCCGTTCTCTGTTCCCTCGGGGGTAGCGCCTTTTTCCTCGCCGGTGGCTGCCTCGGCCTCCTCGGGAATCGGCTCCTATTGGGAGCGATCTCCCGGAGAGGCACGTTGCACAGACACACGTTCAGAAGGGGTGCCCCTCCCCGGTGTTGCCATCGGGGTTGAGTTTTCGTCGCTTGGCAATGACGTTGTAAAACAAGCCAATTCACTTTGTGAACTCGGCAACCAGGTTACCGTAATTTTTTTACTTCTGTTTTTTTCTTTGGCGGTTGCCACCATGGTGGTCGAGTAGAACATGTTGTGCGGGTTGGAGAAGCCTCACCCTGCGCAAGGGGGATGATCGCACCACGTTGTAGTAAAATGGTCAAGCACCCTCGAGGCAGTTACACAGTGCTTACAACTGTCTCTGGAAGTGAAAGCACCAGAAAATAAATTAAGTCATACGCAGCTGTCATCCGTACGCAAGGAAGTAAGCACAAGATGCCGAAAACCCTTAGCAGGATGCAGCGCACCCTTCATGCGACTCGCCGAATATCTCACGGCGCTTCGCGCTTGGTGATGTGAGAGCCTGGTCCGGTGAGAACCTGGCGTGCTCCGTCCCGTCTTTGTAGGGATGCGAGGCCAATGGTCTAACGACTACGGTATGTACGACTATGAGGGGTCCCTGCGAGCTGCACTTTATCACCAGGGATACACAAGAAAACACCCCCCCACAGGATACCACAAGTAATGCAGCCGTCAGGGCAGAATTGGGACCCAATCCCTACGGTCGGGAAGAGACGCGAGGAAGCTGACATGGCAGTATCGCATGTGCGGGATGGGAGAGGAGAGGTTGCCGAGAATTGTATGGGAGGCGAAGTGGGCAAACAAAAAGAGTGTAGACAACCCACGGAATTGGTCAAGGTTTTAGAGGAAGTATGGAAGGGGCTCGACATCGACGAAGATGAAACGCTGGAAACGGAGGGTCTACAGGGGTTCAAGGAGAAGATATCTGTTGCTTGTGCCGAGAGAGAAGAACAGAATCTGAGGAAAGAATCCAAGGATAAGGAGGGTCTAGAAGTGTACGGAATGTTGAAGGAAGGAATAGGGTTCAAGGACTACCTACATGGACCANAATCTAAGGAAAGAATCCAACGATAAGGAGGGTCTAGAAGTGTACGGAATGTTCAAGGAAGGAATAGAGTTCAAGGATTACCTACACGGACCAATGGATGCAGGGACAAAGCTCAAGGTCAAATTCAGGACTGGGGACATAGGCCTTCGAGAACGTCGACGAAGACATAGGACGGTAGACGAGGAAGACGACGAGTTCAAATGTGATTGCGGCTTCGAATGCCAAGACCATGTTCATGTAGTCGCGAATGTCCGTTGTACAAGAAGGAGAGGGAAGTGTACGTGACTGAGCTGGGAAAAATAGATGGGAAGTGCAGGGAGATGTTTGAGGCATGGAATAGAGAGGAAAGGACGGTAGCTGTAGTGGGGCATAGGAGGTGGGTTGAAAAGGCGGGAAGGGGTATCGTTAGGATGGACAGACTAGGGAAGACATTTTTGAGCCACCATTGGCAAAGTAAAAAGGAACGATTGGCCATCGGTGATCGGGCCTGTGGCTTCCTCCTCTCGAGGACGCATGGTCAATGGTCTAACCGCTAAGGCATGCAAAACTGAGTACGCCCCCCCCCCCCCCCCCCCCCCCCCCCCCCCCCCCCCCCCCCCCCCCCCCCC